TTTCCTCTTAAAACTGCATGGAAAAAGAAGCACTTTGCACTATGTGCCCACACAGATAAATGGATAAACGTTAAATATGTAAACTGTTATTTTGTATATTATTCTGCCAATCAAATGTTCCTTAATTGGAGTTTGTCATAAAAATTGATGCCCTTTTTTATTTCAGCTGTAGCGTGGAAAAGGGTCATTCAGATATTCAGAGTCAGTTTTAAACTTCCTCAATAAAGTGCAGCAAGTTAAGGTGAATTGATGCAGCAGAAACCATTGCACATCACTGAGCATTTGCTTGTTTGGTGGCTTTTGTGATGCTGTGCTGCCTTTATTAGATTTACTGTCTGGATGGCTTCCACAGTGTAGCTCCTTGTTCAGTGTACACCACATTTAAATCAAAAAGTACCAGTTAATATAACATATACAAAAGTATGCTTCTTAGCTGATCTAATGGAAAATGTATTTTAATATATCTCTAAAGTAATTAGATTTACTCTTTGAAATATTTGGTTGCAGAGTTTTAAGCTAAAGTTTGAGACAGTTGTTTTGCATCAGGTAAATGCTACTAGTGTATAATTGAAATACAATTGAATTGTCTTACACATTTAATTAGATTTTTTTTTTTAATTTCAAAACTGTATTGTCTGACATTAGAAGAGATGACTTAGTGATGCATGAGAAGCACAATGGGAACGAAAATTGGACTGGAAGTAGCTTATATATTTAAAGAACGTATTAAAAATCCTGAATCTTTATTTTACGTTTAAGAGGCTTATGAAAATGCTGGAGATCAGTCAGTATAAGCCACAGAAAAGCATAATGTTCTTGGATGTCTCTTTCAAAGGGAGAGACAGAACAAGAAAGCTGGATGAGTACTTCCTAAAAGTGCTATTTTTATTTAATGTAAATGTAATGTACATTACATTACTGTAATGGCTGAGCTTGCGGCTCTGTGACATTATATTTAGGGACTATGGATTCTTTTAGTGAAAGAAATAGATGGTTCCTAAATGCTATCTGTATCTTTTGATTTATAGGGTCACCCAAACTAGAGCAGAAAGAACTTGATAATAGTTGCCTTTCCATCTCTCCAAAAATTCATTATTTTTCCCCTGTGGAATAATGAGAATTCTACGTAGAACAGTGAATTTACATCAGACCTACGTTCTTTGCAGAAGGGCCTGTCTTGACATCCTCTTTGTGCTTGGTGAACATACCTGTGATGAAAAGTAGTTGGAACCATTGGAAGATGTTTCTTAAAAGCTATATTCTGCTTTCTGGGAAAAAAATTAAAAATTATTCTTTCTAATTTGATAGTCCTGCCTTACTAGAACAATTAGAATCTAGTTTTTCCAAAATATTAATGCTGGGATGTCTTTGCTGTCCAAGTTGCTTCAGCCTTGTTTCTCAAACTGCTGTTGTTTTCTCGCAGCTTGTAATTTTCACTTATTGCAGGTAGTTCAGTCACAGGATGGGGAAGTCTTTTGATGGGCGTTTAAAGTTTTATTTCAGCTAAGTTTAGATTTCCATAGTTTAGAGGTCTGCATTCTGAGGCAATCCATTTAAGTTCAAGTTATAGCTAATATTGAGAAACAGGATTTTCTTTGGATATGATTAATCTGATTTATTTTAGGTTCTACTTTAGAACAAGATAGCTAATATTCCGTTACTACTTGTTTTTCCGTGTTGGCTGTGAAAGGAGGTGAAGACGCCCACCTTCAATGTTTAGGTGTATCTTCAGCTTTTTTATTGGTTTGAATCCTAGTATGAGAATATAGTATGAAATGGTAGATTTTGAAAGAGAAGTACAAAAAAGAGGTAAGATAAGAAAGATGAGAAAGAGAAGATAAAAAGTCTTTTTCATTTGTTACCTTTTCATGCCCACCTGTAGAACAGTTATTGTGTTGTGCTACGGTTTATAACTTCCTTTTTGTTCAGAAGCGTGATAGCAGTATCATGAAAAGAAAAGGTGCGCAAAGGCAGGAAATTTGCAAAGGAACACACTGGCTAAGTAGTCGTAATCTCTTTCTTTCAGCAAGTGTTTAGTGAAGGTGGACCTGAAGACTGCTTCTTTCAAGGGGAATAAAGTTCAATATATGTTTGTGTTTTATATAAATATGAGGAACTCTGGTTCATTTATTGTTTTTTCTGTAGACATTGTGAGGCAGAGAGAAAATGGTTTACTCCTTTTTTTGCTGTTTAAAATATTAAAATGAAAATTAAAAGTATTAACTAGACTTTTTTTTTTCCACTGGGGCACTGTTTTATAAATATATAATAAACATAAACTGTATAAGTGTAGGACATTTTTATGAGTTAACATGTATAGGATATACCAAAAAATTTGTTCCTGCAGTAGAGGATACATCATTCGTCATCTTTTCTGTCTGGAAAAGTCTTTCTCTTCCAAATTAGTGGGAATATTAATCCTTAATTTTCATTTCTGAACTGTTAAAAAGGGCTTCTCTGCTGAAAATCGTGGGATTTTCTTGTTTGTTTTAAAATCTCAAGGCACATTGTGGTGGAGGTAGATAGATCACTTAATATTGATTTTTTTCACAGGTTCATATGAAACTTGTCATCTTAAATTGACTTTTTTTGCCCGTGTTAAGTCTAATAATTTTCAGTCTTTCTGTGCGTAAGTCTTGTGAGCACTCTTAGTAATTTTTCTGTTGGTGGACTTAGTAAAGGACATGTTGACATTAATGCTAATTTGCTACTTTTTCTGGACTTTGAGGGACCTTTCTGTTGTATTCTTTTCGAGCTGCAGAACTGGCATTTTGATTTGAATTAATTTTGCCAAATGTACATCACCTTAGCTACTTGTCTAATCTGAGTTAGGTTTCTTCATTGCTAGATGTTTTGGGTTTTTTCTTGATGTTGGTCTGTTTACCTTCAATCCTTTCTTGTATTCTCCATTGTATCCAAGCATCTTTACTGTGAAAAAACTTTATTCTTCCATATTATGCTAGGCTTTTCTCTTAACATGCTTTTTCTGAAGGGGTTAGATTTAATAAGTGAAATGGACCCAAGTTTGTTCTCAAAGCTGTCTTTAATGATGGAAGTCTAATAGAGAAAGTGATGGAAACTGAACAGAAAGGTGTTGGAGGGGAGTGTTACCTCCCAATTAGTGCCTATGTTACCCCCATTTTCCACAGAGCATTGTGAGAATTTGCTGTCCATTGCTGGGAGAGGAGTATGATACTGATTTCTGGGGGGGTCTGTCCTCTTTTTTGCTGGGAGGAATATGCTGCTGACTTTGGGTAAGGAGTTTCTTCCTCCTCACGAAAGGATTTGCTATTGCAGTCTGCTACTCACTCTTTCTTCGTTGTTTTGCAAGGCAGTTTTATATCTGAGCTTATTATATAGGGTATTTAAAATACGTTGGACACTTGTTTGTTAATCTTCTTTTAGAAACTGGGTTTTTAAAACTGTACTCCAATGCAAAGGTGGCGTTCCTTTAATAACCAGTAAGTGACTACTGGTGCACTGTTTCCAGTCCTGCCACCTCTGAGATCATTGTGTGCTTTTATTTTATGAAGTCTCTGCTGCAATCCCCTGTTTTACTTACCAGGTTTCCCAATACCTTAACTAATGTTTTATTAGCACAACCTAATCTCCTTGTCCTACAGCTATTAATATTTCACAATCCAAAACCAATGATCCCTTAGAAGATGCACGCCCACATAGAGACACCAGTGCAAACAAGAATGCTTTGGGTAACACCTTGCTGCCAGTGTCTACTAGTAGTGGTAAAATCACTGGTATGTTAAAATTATTTTATAATGTGTAATGTTCATGGTTATTACCAACTGACAAATAAGTGCTTTAAGGTAGCATAACCAAATGTGACAACCTGAAGATGTACTTAGGCTATTGTAATGACATACTGCAACGCTATGAGACAGATAGTAGAGGAGTTTTAAGATATTACATATTCTTTGTTTTCTCTTACTGTTTATTCTATGCTGCCTTGCAGTTGTGTAATGGAGGAAATTCCTTCTTTGGTATATTGTACTCTGTTTAAGTAGAATCAAACACCCCTCTCTTCTGCACCGCCCCCTCCTTGAGAAGAAACCAGGGCTGGGAAAGATGCTTCTTTGATTCTCATCTTGATACAATAAGACACTGTGAGCTGCTGCAAGAGGGAAGCTACAGCATTTACTCAGAGCATTCCCAGCTCGTGTTAAACTCTCTTCTAGGACTGTATGGGAGCTTTCGGAGTTAGCTGGCAAGGCAGCACATTCTGTGATCTTTTCAAAATGGATTAATTCAGATGCCACAGTTTAAAAATAAAACAACATGGCTTAGGTGGTAAAATTTCAGTTCATAGTGAAATGTGAGTTTCTTTTAACACACTTGTGTGAAAGACTCAGTTTCCATGAACTAGACATCATTGGGGTTTTGTGCTTTTCCAGTATTGAGAATCATGGGGTTTTTTTGGGGTGAGGGGCGGGAATCTTCTGTTTCCTTTTGTCTGGTTTCCTTCTGATTCCAAATGCTTGCCTGAAAAACAAATCCTCCTTGAAAAGCTGTAGTCAGCTTTCTAAATCAATTTCATTGATTTTTCTAAAAAGTACTTTTCAGGGCTTTTTCTTCTGTCAAAACTGGCAACATATTTTGCTGTGCATGATGCAAACATAGACATGTTCTGCAGAGATTGTTCATACATAGCTTGAGGGCTCTCAAAGTGCTTCTGATGGTCCTCTTTCAGGTGTGAAATGTTTAGAATGAAGTAATTTATTATATATTAATTCTGGTTAACCAGGCATGATTTGAGATTTTCACAGTCTGCAAGAAATTAAGTATTCATTAACATTTAAAGCCATTAGATGACACAGTTGAGCAATAAATGATTCATTTAGTCCCTGTTAAAGTAAACGTGCGTTGAAGTTTCTGACTAGAAGATAAGTGGTGGTTGTCTTTGTTTTCAATTATTTTCTTCATCCCTGCTTTATTTATTCTGTGCACTTCATTGACTTGTCTTTCTCTCTCTTTTCCTGAAACAGAAGAAGAGGAAGTGGAAAATTTTGATGTTTCCAGTCTGCCTGAAGAAGTGCTGCAGAACATAGAAGCTGACAGTTACTGGTGCATGAGCAAGTTGCTTGATGGCATTCAGGTAAATTGATTTTTCCTGTCTGTAAGTAGTGGAGTTAACTGATTAACGTCATGGCTTTGAACTACTTTAAGGTTGTTGAGAAAGAGTACATCTATGAAAAACAGGGAACAGGTAGATTTTCCCATTGGAGAAATCTGCTGCAAGTTTGGCATAGGATTAAGAAAGGAAAAGGAAAAAAAAATGTGCAACTTGTTTTCATCAAAAAGTCTGCATGTTTCATTGTACATCTAGAACGTTCATGATGTTCTAGAGCAGAGTTGAAATCTCCAATTCTAGAGGCAGGTTGTGCACCTCAGTCACCAAGCACGGAGAATGTTTGCTCAAGTGTCCAAGTAAAATGGTCTCACTGAGGTGATGAAAAACTGGCTTATTTATTCATTTTTAAGTCATTAATATAGCAACCTATAAACAATTGATGTCTTAATAGTTCCTGAAATTGCCTTCATATTTTTAAAACATCCATTTAAAACTTGATGCTTATGCTACTTCACTGAGTGTTTGAATTTTTTCTGTGTGGAGGAACTGGCACAATTTTCTGTTAAATGTGGCAAGTTACAGACTAAGAATGGTGGATTTGTGTGTACATGTTCGGATTCATTGGCATATGAGTTTATGAAGATTAGAAGGATCTGCAAGAAATAGTAAATATGTAGCTGAACATCTTGCATTTAGGTGAGGGAGGGATCCATATGATCTACCATAGATTAAATGGGAGTCCAAACATCTGTATTTGATATTTAGCGTATTAAAACACTTTATGCTGCAGTGCTGATGCACGGTAAAGTAGAAACTTTGGACTTTCTAGTTTACGAAGAAGTTACCTGAATTAAATTTTACAGACTTTATGTTGCAGCAGGCATCAAATACTATCTATCTAATATCTGTTTTTCAGATCTGTGTCATTTGAGATAAACAGTTTGAATCTTGCTAAAAAGTAAAAATAATCTGATTTTGTAAACTCAGAATATATCCACTAAAATAATAGTCATTGTGAATTCCTGGGTTATGACGGGACCAAAATTGACCTTTGCTAGAAATGTGAAAATTTCTGAAAGGTGATGATTTCTATTTTGCACTGGCAACAAAGAATTGTTTTTAGTGGTGTTTGGTAGGCAGATGTTTGCAGTCAGGGTTCATTTGCTGCTTTCAGTGAGCTGATGAGAAAATAAATTATGGTTACAAATATTTAGCACATTGCTTGCTGCTTCTTTTCTTTTTTTATGTTCATACCTTCTCTTTCTGATTATTCCCTGCTTTCAAGTGAGCTATTTGTATAGTGTAGAGGATCTTTTCTGTGAAATTTTTTCAGTATTATTTTGGTGATGATAGAAATTGTTACAGGGATAGCAAAACTTTGGTTGGTTTATTCCTAACGTTCTCTTAAAAGATGCGGTGATGGACAAGTGCTTCTACTGTACTTACTAGATTCAATCCTTTTGATAGGTCTTATGTAACTTTATTTGTTTTGAAATGCTTTGGACGAATGCTTGAAAATTTGAGGTTTTGTTTCTCCAAGTGGTTTTAATGTAACAAAGACCCTGGAGGTTGAATTTATGTGTGTGGAAAATGGCTAACTTTCAATCATTAGTAAATCATCATAAAATGTGAATGACCATAAAAATTCCTATGAATTGAAGCTGTACTTTTCAGTGAAACTAAATTAATGTTTTCCAGATTCTTTATTTTGATTACATTTTTGATAGATATTTCTTTCCTTATGGTACTTAGTATTTTTAAAAGTGCTTTAGCATATTCTTGCCTATGACTTATGTTTTAATATGAATGTTTCATTAGCTAAGGCATGTCGGCTAAGGCATATTGTGAATTTAACCTTGTAACAGTTAATTTTTGACAAAATTTTTATAAAATTGAGTCAACAAACAGAAGTGTTTAACTTCTTTGAAGGTATTTTAAGTGTATTTCTCCTGGTTAAAGGTCAAATGAGTAGTAGCTCAATGTTTTGTGTAGCATTGTTGAAAAGCATAGTCTTTTTGTCATGTTGATTCCAGTAAAAAAATGCTGCTTTGCTTATTTCAATCTCTCAGAACTACTACATTTTAAAATATTTGACCACATATCAAAAATATGTGAGAACTTATAAAGAAAAAAAGTGAGAACTTGAAAGCTACTTGAAAGGAAGAAAGCCAGGTTAAGAAACACAAGCCCTCCAACTGTTTTACCAGTTTCTGGAACATCTTCTGTCACAGGCCTGCTGCTCTGTTTTTTTTCTAGAAAAGGAAGTTCAGAGATTACATCATTTCTCCATAAAATTCTGGTTTCATACAAAACCATCAAGTACTGATATACAAAATATCAAAACTAATTGTAATGGAATTAAACTGCATTGATGAAAATTTAAGCTTTTATATAAATGGAATGGTTATCAATTGGATGTATTAAAGGATGCAGTCATCTATCAAAAGCAGGCTTGAAAGATTATGCAAGTGGTGTGACTAATGATGTTACAGTTAATTCAGTGCAACTGCAGAGTGCTTCTAAAATGAAAGGGTTTGCTTGGTTTTTTTCTCCCATTCTGCTGTTTTGGTTCCCTTCTGTGTTGATACCACTTTACTTGTCAGATGGAGGGGTCATGTAGTTGCAGGTTGAGTTGGTTGGGAGAACTAACCCAACAAGAAATTAGCTCATTGAAAGGAAGGGGATAAAAAAAACCAAAACAGAGAATAAAGATTGTTTTATTGAAGGGATGCCATCCAGAGGATCCTTGACATCCTTGAGGAGTTGGGCCCACGCGTACCTCATGAAGTTCAACAAGGCCAAGTGCAAGGTCCTGCATCTGGGTCAGGGCAGTCCCTGGTATCAATACAGACTGGGGGATGAATGGATTGAGAGCAGCCCTGCTGAGAAGGACTTGGGGGTACTGGTAGATGAGAAATTGGATATGAGCTGGCAATGTGTGCTTGCAGCCCAGATCCTGGGCTGCATCAAAAGCAGCGTGGTCAGCAGATCGAGGGAGGTGATTCTTCCCCTCTACTCCGCTCTCGTGAGATCCCACCTAGAGTACTGCATCCAGTTCAAGGCTCCCCAGCACAAGAAAGACATGGACCTGTTGGAGCGGGCCCAGAGAAGGGCCTTGAATATGATCAGAGAGTTGGAACACATCTCCTATGAAGAAAGGCTGAGAGAGTTGGGGTTGTTCAGCCTGGAGAAGAGAAGGCTTCGGGGAGACCTTATTGTGACCTTTCAGTACTTAAAGGGGGGCTTATAAGAAAGGTGGAGAAAGACTTTTTACCAGGGCCTGTAGTGACAGGACAAGGGGCAACAGTTTTAAACTGAAAGAGCGTAGATTTAGACTGGACATAAGGAATACATTTTTTACGATGAGGGAGCCCAGAGAAGTGGTAGGTGCTCCGTCCCTGGAAGTGTTCAAGGTCAGGTTTGATGTGGCTTTAAGCAACCTGATCTAGTGAAAGATGTCCCTGCCCATGGCAGGGTGTTGGACTAGATGATCTTTAAAGGTCCCTTTGAACCCAAACCATTGTATGATTCTGTGATTCTAACTGACTTGCATTCTGGATCATGAAATCCACTGAGCGGGGACAAGAGCTAGATGGGGATGGGTGAGGTGGGACCCAGAATCATTAGACTTAAGATCAAATTGTGCCCCAAATTGCATAAGCTGATTTACATGAAATTGTAATAATCCTATGCTCTTTCCTGCACCTGAATGTTCATTTCTGTCCATCCCTTGCTGAGTGCTACCTATTGTGAGCTGATCCACAAAGTTGAACTGCCTGACAGCACAACAAAACAAAAAAGCACTGGTTGGTTTAAGGAGTGAACACCTTGAATAAGTACCATAGCAAATAAATGAGTAGAACTACACAGTAGGGCCAAGGCAGGATCATGACAGCTGAGACACGGATTTACTTTAACGGCTGTAGATTCTCAACTTACCAAACTTCTTGTCAATATGCAGTAGTCTAGATGATCCGCTTAAGTATCTCTACTTCTCACGAAAGTTGCTGCCGATTGTTTCTTGGAAATAGTAATTAAATTAGTTTTTACTACTCCTTTAGTATTTTCCGTGTGATCTACTATAGATAATGGAATGTCTTTACAGCCAACCAGGATAAACTGCTTCTCTCACAAAGCCACAGACAACATAAAAACACAAAACCAAAGGAAAATCCCAAACAAGATTAGTGCTATTACGTTTCCTTTTTTTCTGTGAAAGTGTTGTATGAGACTCATGTGACTACTGATACTTTGTCTGAGATGTCTGAAAGAACTGTATGAGGATTTTACAAGAGGAATATGTGACATGTGGTGATAACTGCAATCTAAGTAGCTCTGCAGAATATATCCATTAATTTATTCATCAATATAGGCTTCCATTTGATGTTGGCCTGCCAGTATTGGATAAGTTTAAAGGTGTACTGTGATAACAATTAGAGTCCTGTTGTGAATTTTTTGGCTAATACGAGCTAGATACGTTTTTGTGTGTTTGTCTTTCCAATGCATAGGAGCGTAATGGAAAAATGATTGTATTTGTATCCCTTTATTATTCTTAACAGAAAACTCATTTATTTTTCCAACCCATCCAGACCGTCTCATTTTCTTGATTCCAGAATTGTCAAAGGTGTTATTAAGAAATATGTGTTTCTTGGTCGAGTTTTGCTACACATAGTAACTATTATTTCTGCTGTCCTCACTCATCTTACCCCCCTCCCTTCTTTATCTAATGTGACTCTGTATTTTTAATATAACAGCACATCTTTGAACCATAGGGACCTGTGGAATAAAAGACAGTGTTGGCATTGAGCAGCATGACAATCACCTCCTGACATGCTTACAGTTCTTAGCCTAGAGAAGAAATAAAAACTTGGTCAAATGATCTGTTGCTTTAGCAGATTCATGCTGTTTTTTGGTGATCTGGGGGTTTCTATGCAAGTATGTCTTTGGCTCCAGTTAGAGGTAACATTTCTCATTTTTCTTTTGCAGAACTTTTGCAGTAGTTAATATTTGATATTGCACAATAG